CGCTGCTATTCCATGAATGCCATAAAAATGCAATTTATCCAACAAAATTTCATGATTTACACAGTCAAAAGCTTTTGCTAAATCACAGAAAATTTCTCCAACATGCATGTAGAACTTTAGGTGGAAAGATTTGGAAGCTCAAGTGACAAATTAAAAGATTGATCATATAACCTGCTCAGATGTATTTTGTTTCATGAGCAATGTTTCAGTAAAATGGTATACACTTCATGTGTACATTCTGTATTTAGTATTCTTTAGATTAGATTAGATTAGATTATTCTAGTATGTATATAATTCACAATCTGTTATTAACTATGAAAGCTCTACAAATTCATCAAAAGAATAGAACATTTGTGGTAAAAGATATTCTTTTGATGTGGACTTGAACAGTCTTCTGTTGGCTGATAGACTTTTAGTTATTATGAGGTTCTTATACAGTATATTTACTAAATAGTTATACATTTTTTGGTAGGCCTCCATTTTAAGGTTAATAGTCACCCATTGAAGTTCATTTATTGCTTACTATTGATTTTATGAACATCTGTGTTTGACTGGAAAATTCCACAGATATCTACTACACTTGTCATTAAAGTAACTATATACATAGAAGCAAGCAGTAATATGCACTGTCTCTCAACCTTTATTATTCATATTATCATGGCATATGTGGGGTCCATCTGGCTGTGCATCACACTGGTATGCTGTTAAACTATTTTCCAGGAGTTGGATTACAGCCAGCAGCCTTACAGTACAGGGGTTTATATTCCCTATTCCCACATGGTAAAGGTTAAACAAACCTCTGCATGATGTACATCTTTGAACACTTGTCATTATTCTGATTATTTTGTTGTGCATGAGAAAAACTTTTTTGTTAATTGAATCTCTCCCTAAGATTATATACCATGTGACATGACTTGAGTGAGAGTTCTATGTTAGCAATAAATAAATTAGATCTCATTAGGATTTTATGTTCTCAAAACAGTGAATATAAAGATGGCTGTCTTCTGGGTTGTAGCACTGCCTCCATCATCAGGGCAATGAGATTGTCCAGATGATGGAGGCAGCAAGGACCTCTGAAAATTTGGTAAACTTCTACCAGACTACACAGAACTACAACCCAGAAGATAGCCATCTTATTTTTATGTTGTGTAATTCTTGGAGCCACAGGAATTATAACTAAAAGACCGAAAAAATGTCTGTAAACAATACCAGGAAAGCATTCAGTAGATTCTCTACAGACAGACACACACACACAACAGCTGTACTAGGAACGTCACATATAATAAGCACTGTGCTACAGCCAGAAACTTGAAACTTGAGTGATGGAGTTCACCATTGGTTCAAGAAGAAAATACCTGGAAGAACCTGTGAAAAGAGAAAGAATAATAATGATGATGACGATCATGATGTGTGGTGTATATTAGGAAGTCAACATATTTTTCTGCATATTTACATGATTATAATTAAAGTGCACTTACTATGCATGTTGTTTCTAGGGACAGAGTGGTTTCAGTTTCCCCTAATAATGACATTTCCTTTATTAATAATGATGATAATAATTATGATGGATAATTTGCATGAATAGAAAAATGGTACTACCTCTATTGTCAAAGAAAACATGCATTTTCTAGACATCAAGATGACCGAGCACCTGTTGTCATTGTAGACAAAGTGTGCAAATGCTTATGGCCACTGCCTATTGTTTCACTTCAAGTAGTGTATCCTGTGTTTCACCTTTCAGCTGGCGCCACCAGTGCCGTTGCTGGATGATTTCACATATCATTGGAAGATGGTGATGAAGTTCTATGTAAACAAGGATACAGTTTGCAAAACTATAATTGAAAGTACAAATATTCCGGCACATTTGGATCAGTTATTGAAGGTAGGCTGGAAAGCAGTGAATACCAATCTCAGCCAAACCAAACATTGCAGTCAAGTGGTTAATGCTTCTGTTTCGTGTCTTGGCTTGGAGACTGTCTGTCCTTACTGTGCTTTTTTGTTGTTCTCTTTATCTGCTCCAGACAAACACTGGGATAGTTCCTTAAATTAGCCTAAAGCCACTTCCTTCCACATATTCTCAATTTATTACTCACTAATATTTCTCTCATTTGATGTTGTATAATTTGAACTATTGCATTACTAATTATCCAACAATATATTTATAAACATCAGCCAAGTTTATATTTATTGGTGACTAGGAATTTTATAATCCTTAAATAAATTAGAAATTTTGTTTCCACAAATGTCTCAGATTATGGCTGTAATGGCATACTTTGCCTCTGCTTACATAATGAAGTGAAGCAGTCTTTCTGTAAGGTGGGACACCTATGAGGCAAATTCCAGGTGATGGGGCAGGAATAATGATTTATACAGGGGGTTTGTTGCTGAAGCTTTATGATCATGCTTCATGTGTTGCAATTTCATACTGTAAAATGTTAAACCTTTGATTTTAAGTTTTAGCTGGTAGCCCTCATAGTTTGGGTATTTTAATCCCCTGTTGCTGTATGATAATGGTCATTCCCTGGCTGCACCTTGAATTCTCTATACTGAAACTTTCAGACCTCTTCATGTACATGCTGTTCGTGTACTGTATGTTGAGCATATCAGGGAAAATCTGTTTTATTCTGTTTGGTACTGTAGTGTTATGTGGGCTCCAGGCCACAGTACAAGGCTAGTATTATCCATATTTACAATGTGTAATATTTAGTAGAGGCATCAGCTTTGATCTGTGTACTGATAGGTCTGCACCCAGGTCAAATAAAATTTTTACGACAGAGTTCTCTCAGTTCTGGTCAGGCATTGGATCCTGGACTTTTTGCTATCAAAACTGAGAACTGACATATTTGCCGCAATGCTTAGGCGCTGCTATTAGCATGGAGCTTAATGAATGTAAGTGATTGTTGCAGTATCTCATGAAACTAAGTAAAATGTTTGCAAATTAAACCTTGTCAGTTAAAGGTCATGATCCATTGCCATTAGGGCATATGTAATGTAACAACACTTATAAAGTAATTGAAAATTGTCATGATAAAACTCAAAGCTTGAAACCTACCATGAGGCAGCTCATTCTATTCCACATCATCAAAACCTGTTCTTGATAAAATCAGGTTTAATTTTATTTTTGAGATATGTTTGGGCCAACCCCTCAAAGAATGGAAGGATTTTGTTATGTAATGCCTGTATCAGGCCATAATGACTATTCTGGAAAGGAAGAAGAAGAGTTTTATCTTTGAAACAGCCTTTTATAATATGTTTCTATACCACCATATATTGTATGAGCTAGAACACACTGATTTAACTAACTTAATGCTGAAGGTAGTGAGTGTTTCGAGATTTTTGTACTTTGACACAGGATACACCATTTTAAAGCTGTGGTACAGTGTTTTAAAATGTTTCTGCTACTCTAACTGATTTATTTTTCAATATTTCAAATAAGAAACAAAAAACATAGGCTCAAATTGGAAAATTATGCTGTCAGGTTGATTATTTTGAAACTCCGGTATGGAAAAATTTATTCATCCTCAAGAGCCTATATTTTATTAAAAAATTCTAGACTGAAAACTGCAGTGAATAGACAAATTTATTTAACTATTTTTTCCATTTAAGGCATTTAAGTGACAAAGTATTCTGGCTGCCAGTTGAAAGGGGGTATTTAAATACCTGTAAGTCAAAGGTCAAGATTGTAATGAGAGAACATAACAGTGAACTCAAAGTGACATAGAACAATGATGGAAACATTTTTTGTTCTCATATTGCATCAGTGAAGATTGCATGGCATACAGTTTTGTCAGGATTGGTCCATGGCACACACAGCCAGAAATAATATGGAAGCATCATGCATCTTGTTACATAATTGAATTGTCTCTTGTAGAGAAACCTGCCTTGGCCACCAAGGTCTCCATGCTTCTTACAGTGTTATGTAAAATAAACTGTGTTTTCAACTTGTATTCAATTTATTTAAGAGCTGAAAGCATGAATTAGACAAGAAGTTGAAACCTTTTACTTGGATGTGTTGCATTTGGTGATGGATAGCTATACATTTGGATAATTTAATTTTTAGAAATTAAATTAAATTATTTTTGCATTAATAATCTACATGTACCTTAAAGAGTAGCACTGTTGTAATATATTTCTTTCCAATTTTTACATTTCTTTTTTAATTATAAAGCCATAATCTTCTTATGGGCCACTATTCTGTTGTTTTTATTAGTTTTAGGTTGTGTTATTGGAACCTTGGTGTTGCATTTTGTCACCACTTGACAAGTCTTTTACATATGGTTTGTAGATTTTACTGGAAGAGGAAGCAGCCAGTCATGAGAGTGGCACTGCTGGTCCCTGTCTGGAGTATCTGTTGCAGCACCGTCTGTTGGATCTGCTGACAACGTTGGCATGCACTGACTGCCCCCCTGGCATGCGGCCATTCACACTTAGCTTCATTCGGAGGTTAATAACACAGCTCAAGCATCCTCTGTTGCCACACATTAGTGTATATGGCCCCATTCAGGTGAGCAGTGATTTTTAAAGTGATTTTTCAAAATGAGAAACATACAATGATATGTGTCTCACTGAGTAAAGGAAGTGTTTTGTTTTATTTTATATGTAATTACTTGAAGATTTTGTAAACAAGGAGTGAGGATAGCTCAGTCAGTACAATGACAGAGCTACTGCCTGGACAAATGGTATTCAGTACCAGCAAGGCAGAACCCTTTCTTTGCCACAGTGCCAAGACTGACTGTAGTCCCACGTAGCACCTTGTCTAGTGGATATTGGAGTTCTTTTCTGAGGTGTGAAGAGGTTGGAGATGAAGCTACTTGCCTTCATCTAGTACTGAGATTAAGAATGTGTGGATCTGTCAGCATCAGGGACAACTTTTCCCTTTTCTTTTGCCTTATTTTCAAACATATATTAAAATCATCACCATTGGCATGATATGTTTATAGTCTGAGGGACTGGATCTGAGATACAGTATTCTCATTATGACAATGTATTTCAGAATGAGAAAATAACTTTCACAGTCAAAGGAATGGCAGTTTAACTGGCTTTCCTTGGGAATGTTAATAAAAAAATGGTTATTTTGAAATATTAGGTTGTACTGTATAACAGTATCCCAAAAATCTGTCTCATGCAAAGTGGAATATTAAGAATTATTTTTGCTTGCAGGTACCTATTTGGCTACTTTACATCCTTATATCTTGAACAGTGACGAAATTTCTCTGTTATTTTCTCAACACAACAGTGGCATCAGAAGCATCTAATGCAGTTGGTAGATTGTGTGTTATATCCAAAGACATCCAATACAACTTGAGACAAAATTTCAAGAACCTTCTCAGAATGATGCTAATGTTTTCACCTCAGAAATTCATAAGGCAGCCATGCTAATATTGATGACATGGAGGTAAAAAGCATTAAAGTTGTTTGTCCTCCAATGGCATGAGTTATGGTGTACTAAGATTGTCATCAAATGGCTTGCTGTTCATATGAAGGTTTATGAAAGTAGGATGTCTGATGTGTATGTAGGTTTGGAAAGTAAGATCTGTTAGTGATTTTTCCAGCATTTATTATGTTGCACAAAATTCTGCAGGTAGAAATAAACACTACTGGAAAAATGACATTTTTTTCATATAGTCACCACCTTGTTTCAGTGATGCACAAGCATCTTTATCCCAGCACTGAAGAAATCTGGCTTAAAGGCATGAACCACATATGCACTTCAGTTTTTATCTCCTTGTATTTGCTGTCCTGGTGTTTCTTTAGGGCCCAAACACATAGTAATCGCTTGGTGCCAGATGTGGGCTGTAAGTGGGTGTAGATGCTCCCTGCCAAACTGCTTCTGCAATAGGTGTCTGATAATGTTTCAAGTATGGGGCTGGATATTGTCATAGATGAGAAGCAGGCTCTGTCTCAGGAATCCTGGCTGTTTCCATTGTATGTCCTCCTTTAGATGCCTCAGTGTCACAGCAGCGCCGCTCTCTAAGAACTCCATATATAGCAGACTCTGTTCATTGCAATATGCTGTTAGGAGCACCCTCCGTTCAGACTTCTGCCACTTGGTTGGTAGTGTGGTATGCTTCAGTTCTATTGATGTAGCCTTTGATTCTGGGGTCTAATGATGCACCCATGTTTCATTGCCTGAGATATTGTGACCAAAAACTCTAGAACTTCCTGTGAGTATCAGTGGTGAAGTGTCAGATTGGATCCCATTCACAATGATTTGTATTTAGCTTTCAGTGATGATGCCCTCATTACAATGATACTGTGGAGTACTGCGGCACATCATGAATAATGTTGTGAGTACTCTAAGTGAACATGTTGGTGATGTTGGATACCTCACACACATGCCTGTCTTCTCGGACCAAACCTCTAACATGCCATACTGTCATCTGTTTGAGAGGATGCCAGTCTGCCATTCCATCGTTTGTCTGAGTGATGTCCATTCTGTTGAAAACTTGAAGCACCATTTTCTAACACTACAGATGTCTTTCACTTCTTTCACTTGGTGATGGATTTCTGCAGCCTCTTAGTCTGTTATCCACAAATTGAAACACAGCATACACTTCCTCATCACACCATTTCTCCAAAATCATCACTGTAAACTGCCTGTGATGTCCCCTAAATGTTTACAGGCCACTCACTGACAGTCTGTTGCTCAACTGTTGTTTGCTTTACACTGGTGGGAACTTTAAAATATCCATTTCCGTATTTGTGTCACATATGCAGTATTGGAACTTACTATCCGAATAGCTATTATATAGTATGTGTTTGAATTTTAAACAGGAATTGTCAGATGGCCAGACAGACCTATGTATTCCACTGCTGGAGTTCCAAGCAGACATGGTATCTGTGCTCAGGCAATGGACTTCTCTGACAAATGTCTAATATTTGAGTCCAGTTATGAAATTTTTTGCATGATTTTCCCATACCTCTCCTCTTACAAAGCTGAAGCTTTTTGGATGTGGCAAATGCCAAGCATCCGCCATGAATCTGGTATAAATCCATTTTTAATAATTATCATGAACAACCACTGAAGCAGAATCCAACTCCAGTAGATTATTCCTTCACCCTCTCAGATGAACAGATGTCAGAAGACCGTGACATTTTTCAGGCTATTCAGTTTTAAAATACAATTTTTTGCAGACACTGTATCACATATTCTTTGTACATAAGTTACTATATCAAATTACTTTATCTGTTTTGTTTACATGTAACAGTTATTCTCTATTCGGATGTAGGCCGCCTATTTTGACTCTGATGACTTTCCCTCATGGCACAATTTTTTTCCAGTCCATCAAGTGGATCATGACTGACTCCTTTCATACCCTTACCTGCTGACCTCCTTTAAACTCATTGTCATGTATAACTTGTAGGGTTGATACAGTGTTATTAAACAGTTTAAGAATCAATCATATTTATTTACCTATTACTAATAATAAGGGCTCCAGAAATTTGATATAAATCTGCTCGCCATTGGACAAAATTTTATTTTACTTAGTTCTGGCAGTATGGTCTATATGTGCATTTTTGTGTGTTTAAAACCCATCATTAATTGTCAGATATTAAGATTAGAAGAAATAATTAATAGATTTGTGTTCTTTACCTTCACATGACATTATAGTATGTAATTTGTGTATTAAATTTGTTATACATTTGGATTATATTCGCTACTGAGTAAGTACGTACAGTGTATCACGGGAACTCTTATCATTATGGTTTCATTCATTCCTGATATTCTGGCTTTATTGTTTATGGTTTGATCTTGTGTTTCAGAGGTTGATTAGCTTGTGTAATGGAAGGCTGGCCTCGCCTACAGAATCTGTTGAGATCCAGTTTTTGTGTGCATTGTGTGGTCTCATGTGCACAAATCCCCATCTCACTAACATATTCAGTAACCAGCAGGTACAGTATTCATCATCTTAATGCATTTCCTGTGATCTGTTTTAAAATTTGAACATCCCAGTTCCCAGACTTTAATGTTACTGTCCATGAAATGCTACATTGAGCGAAAGATTTTTTAATTTTACGTATTTGTGCTTGTTATGGGCTGTTGGCAGATGATAATATTTCTGTTAGTGGTATTTCTAAAAAACAAATTTCTGCACAGTGTCACTGAACAGAACTGAACATTGCCACTTTCATGGACTGTCTGAGGGATTTGACAGTGCATAAGAACAAATTTTAAGAATTATTCTTTTACACAACTCTGTTCTTGCCAGTTTGATACTCATTTACAGTAGATAAACAGTTGCTATACTTATTTGTCACTTGATCTTCCCCTGCTAATCTGGCGCTGACTTTAATTAGGTATGGTAAATCAGAATGAGCACAACAGACCCAAACAATGTGCTTGTGTAAAAAGTTATACTTTTTGTAGAGGTAAATCATAGGAATTACCTTTGGCTGCATGCAGCATATTGATCATCATCTTTGACATTATGTGTACAGTAGTGTCAAAGGTTCATCAGAGTTCAGTGGGGAATAATATCATTTGTATCATTATCCCTTACCCCCTTCTTGGTTTTCTTTATTTCTTTCATAACTGCATTGCATTGTCTTGTATTCCTTTCCCATCAGTTCTGTCTTAGAAAAACAATAAAGAGTGTCCTGTGTTATTTCATTGTTTTTATCACCCATGTTAGCAATCCCTTCTGTGAAAAATAGAACATTTTACCATCTAGTATAATTAGTAAGGACTTTTCCATCATCCACATTGCATATTCTTTATTTTAACATTTTCCTTGAGGTATGTACCCATTTAAATGTCTCTATGTGCACATAACAAAGATTTTGTATAATAGAAATTTGTAAGCTGGTTCAACACATGAGCATGTTTTACTGCAGTATAAAGTCTGACATGTATTCAGTTGAAGTCTGCCTTAAGTTTTATATATTTAATTAGTATAATTAACACAAAATTGAGTGGTATTTGGCATTTGTAAGCTTGTGGGGCTGAAGGAAATTTGGATTGGAGTACCATCACAAAAAAAAGTCAATACTCTTTTGATTCTGACCATTCTTTTGTGAATACACATAAGTCCTTGGGATGTTGCCTGACATCATAGACCACACCACTTGACTTCTGAGAGATTTAGTTTTCATAACTATGATAAGAAAGGTAACTAGACATGAGGGATTGTTTGTCTTGAAACTATTAGAAAATTTAATTGTTAATTAAGTGTATTAGGTATATAGCAGCAAATTGTGAGACTCCTGCACTACAGCGTTTTGGAAATGTGCTGTTTATGAGACTTCTGGATCTATCTGGTATAACATATAGCGGGAACCAGCAACAGTGCAGATTCCTTCTTTGTGATTTATTACTAGACTCTGCTAGGCAAACACTGAGTTGATACCTTCAAACAGGAAAAACCACATTGCCCCATATCCTTACGTACTCAACATTTATTGACACCATCCCAACTCATTCCACACTGTGTAAAGTACCTA